TCATGACCACCCGCACCGCTCTCTGCTACTATTTATCTCTTTTTCTATCTTGACTTCTTCACGTTTCCCGCCTTCTCCTCTTTTCCCGCCACTGCCTTAATTTTCCGCCCCTTTTTTATACGCCATCTTAAAATATACGTGTTTTTTATCGTTTTTTTTTTCATCCTTCTTCGTGACTTATCGTTTCTAGAAGCTTCGTGTTCTGATCTTCCCGACAACTTTTATTCCACTGATGATAACGGCTGTGATGCTAACGTTACACTTCTATTTATTCTGCTTTTTTACCCCACTTTTTCTTTTTGATTAGTTTGTTTATTCAACTTATCGATTTGTCTTGCTTATATTGGAATGTTTACTTATTTATTGATAGATTTATCACTTTCACTTAAACTGTTTTTAGCATTTTTTTTCTTTTTCTCCAAGACGAATTTTTTCTTTCAGAAATTCTTTTTTTTATCTTCGTCTTTCGGTCATGTTTTAAATCCCTCTTCTTCTTTTTTTATAGCTTTTGGTCTTTTTTTTCTCTTTTGAACCGAAGCACTACGCTGTTTTTCACTTTTAATTCGGTCTTTCTCACGCAATTAACACTTCAACGACCGACTGCCTGACTAAACAGAGAACGGCCGAGATATCGTTTTCAAAAATTATTATTATTTAGAGAAATAATTATCATATTAGAAATTTATAAATTAATATGTTTGTATTGCATATTGTAATGTGTTAAAAAGGCTAAATAGAAAACATTTGCAAAATAAAAGACATGCCTGAGTAAATATACCTTTTCTTATTATCTATAGTGACTTGACACAAATGCATCTTCACAAATTACAATAAGGTTTCTTTTTTCATATTTCGCGCATTTACTACTTGTTAACGTTCTCCTCTTTGTTTTATTTACAGAATTCGCAGATACTAATACTTGTGATTTGAGTTTCTCTAATGAAGAACAAGATAAAACTTTTTGTCGAGGCTTACGAGATGTCAGTTCCAAGAGCATTCCTTATCTGGCCAAAAATTCTCAAAATTCCATTACTAAATTTAGTGCATTGAGGCCAGACTCTTTTCTAAAGAAGTCATTCAAAACCTTCTGAACGTTTGACGTAAGATCATATAAATTATATAGAATATTTTCATATTTGAATTTTTTTTTTTGTTCAATGTGGTTTTGTTTGGTTTTCCAACAACATTCTTAACAACATTTAATAACTTCACGTATAAAAATAGAAATATGCAAATATCACAACACTCTTAAAACAAATATGGAACGTCACAATACCAAACCAAACGTAACAAAATTAACATAGAAAATAACGAAACAAATACCAGCTTAAAACGCCTACAATGTAACTATTGCCGAGAATGGAAAATAGCAATAAACACGTTTCTGTAACAATATAAACTAAACAAAAGAACAATATTCACTTTTAAATGTAAATCGAAGGTAAGTTTCTACTACGCTACTTACAAACTCACCTCAAAAGTCTAGCCAGTGAATACCTCATAACTTAAATCTAAATCAAATAACACAATTTAGCGACAAATGTAGAAAAATAATTAAATATATAAAATACAAAAGTAGAATAAATAATTAGTAAAAATAACTCATGGACAGGACTAAAAATAACATAAAACATTAAGCGGAAACTAAAAAAATACTGGGCAAACTTTTCCTATTTCATATCAGCCACATATGGAGCATGGCCATGGAGTATAGCCACATCGTTTAAGATGTGAAATTGAGAATCACGGTTCAGTTTTAAATTCTATGTCTACACTGTCTCTGCAAAATCTACACACTACTACTACAACCGGTGTTACTTAAAACTTTCGAATCTTACACAAAACCAAATATAAATAAAAAATACCTACGACTACTACACACTCATACACACATGCACACACACACGCACACACATACACAAACACACACAAACTAATATAAAGTGTGTGATGAATAAATTGTCGACTAAATTACGTAAAAATGAAATTAACACTGACATCTCATTTTAAGAAATATATTTACCAAAATTACACAAAAATATCTTGAAATACTAAAGAGTATATTTATTGAATGAAATTGCCGTTGGCTTAAATTACGGCCTCCAGATGACTTCGGAATCTCTTGCAACTCTTCTGGACGGTCCCCTTGTTTAAGTTGGTGAATGCTGCTATAATCCTTGCCTTCAGTTCATCTTTAATGTTACAAGAAGTTTTGTTGGTCTCTCGGTCAATTGAGCCCTACACATAATAATCAAGGGGGTTGCAGTCTGGGGTGTTAGGGGGCTAATGTGGTCGCAGAAATTGTCTGGCAGCTATTACTGGGTTCTCCTGCTTTTGTGGAATGGTGAACAGTTCTTTTGCCAGACATATGGTCTTCCTGCAGCCATCATCTTGACCCAGAGCTGTACTAATCCCTGGATGCACTTGATATAGGCCTCCGTCTTGAGTCTGAGACCCTGTTGTAAGATTAATGGAGTCATAACATCGCCATCACTAGTGTTCGCTCCAAATTCCTTCGTAATCACAATTAGACCCATCGTATGATTCCATTTTTACGTGGTGGGAGGGTAACTTTGGTGTGTAATGGTTCCAGTAGTACTTAAATGTCTGAAGATATTTTGCCTTGTTTCTGGTCAAGGACAACTTGGAAGGTCTATGTGATTTTGCGAAAGATGTGCTTTGTGTGCTTCCAAATGATTATCTTCTAGAGAGTTAGATAGCGAAAAAAAAAAGATTGTTTATAATTTTTCGTAGTAGAATGAAAATACGAATACAGCGTAGTAATAGATAGAACAACAATTGTTTTATTTTCTCTGCTAACCTCGAATCCATCATTTTAAAATATGAACAGTTAGTTTGGTGGGTAAACTTAGCTGTAGGGTGAGGATGGTCACCGTTGGTCTCTCTGACATCTGAATATATATGGTTGATTTTTTTTCTTTTTTCTGTTGATTTTCATTATACTGACTTCACGAAAAAAACAGTAACATTGCGCGTCATGTTAAATAAGAAAACTACCATTAATTTCCTTTTTTTAACTGTGTGCCCTATCTCTCATTTCTTTAATCACTTGGAATCTTTCCTTATGACGTTTTTTTTAGTTCACGTCTGATACGAGTTAGTCATTCATCTTCATTTTCCCTAAGTCACAGCTAAAGAGCAAGATCTTGATATTTATTCTAATTATATTGATTGTCTTTATTATCTTTTAGCGCCAAATCTGTCTGGTAGCCATGACGTGAATGAAGTAACAGTATTCTCCGGCAGTCTCATTATTATCACAGACATCAAACAGTCACGTGGACTGAGTCGATCTAAGACTTTCTCGTATTAGTAATTCTTGGAATATTTCATAAAGGCTTTTACGATTACATACTTTCCTATTCAGAATTTCTATATTCTATAATTTTTGTAACTCATACACACAACACAATGGTCTAGTTTTTAACTAGACCATTGTGTTGTGTCTATGAGTTAAAGTTAGGCTGGGAAAACATGATTTATTTGAAACATATATTAAAAAAATGCAAAATACATAATAGGACCAAACAGCCTGCATACAGGCATAAAATAGAAATGGGTTTAAGACATAAAGGTGTCTTCATCCGGATTTATTTAAACTTTACAGCGAGGCGATCTTATGAGAACTAAAAGTCCTACCCGGATTTATTATCGGCGGTTATAAACTTATTAATATAAGGAACATAGATGACACGGTGTTGATAGCCGACACAAAAATTAAACTGCAAGATCTTCGAAACAAAATAGCGAAAAGAAACGATAAGTAAAGAATGACGATCAGTTGTAAGAAGACAATATGTAAGTTTGCCAGCAAAAGTGATAGCCCAAGATGTGGACTCTAAATTGGAGATATCAAAATCAAACAAATAGAGGAATTTAAAAATCTGGAACTGCTATGTAATATTAATCTTTCTATACGGTAGTGAATGCTGGACAGTTTTCTTATCGATGAAGAGGAAACTTGAGGCAACGGAGATGTGGTTCCACTTAACGATGCAAGGAAAATCAAGGATGATGTATGTGAGCAATGAATAACTTTTAGGGAAAAATGGAAACAAAAAGGATACTTATACTTAGAATCCGAAAGAAGCAACTGAAATTTCTGAGGATATTATGAGGAAAGAAGGCGTAGCAAATTTGACACTCACTGGATGACCTGAAGCCAAGATGAATCGAAGTAATAGGAAACATCGAGTAACCTATCTAACGAGCTTGTATCAATGGATATCAGAACAGAAAGTGGGAGAAACAGTACAGAGTTAATATTACTAATAGGTAAAGGTCGTTATGTAGAGCCATGACCAACAACATTGTGAAGGGATAAGGCACATAACAAATAAACAAATTTCATAATTATTTCCATATGTCAATTATGAGATGGTGTGTTCTTTCTTAGATCTCAAAATTCACAATTATAATTTCTTTGCAGTTTCATCATGAAATATGGCTGCATGATTTGCACAATTCTCAGTATATCGCCATTCTTACCCTGTCATGTTTGCTTTTATATTTCTTTCTTTCGGTTCAAATTGCTACATTATGCTGCGGCTTACATTGTTAATTTTTTTCTCTTTAAAGACATTTTTTTGTTATTGATTATTATTGTTGTTGCTAGTTCTATCGACGTTTCACTCACTGGTTGGTCATCGTTAAGGATTGAGTAACACAAAACTAATGTTCACGACCTTGCTCTGGGAATTTTCGTCATTAATGCTAATAGTAATTGATTTAATTTATTCTTCCTTAAAGCTCTTATTCTGCCAGACTTTTCGAACAATATATTGTCTTCTAATGATTATGGTTCTAACATCTATCTTTGTATAATACAATTTCTCAAAAGTTGATTCAGGACGTGACATTATCTATAAATATAATGTTCATTATTGTTATTCTCTGTTTTTTCCCGCGTCGAATTTCACACCAATATGATCTGGTGAGTTCGGTGTTTTGTTTTACGTTTCTTGCTGATATTAACAATGATGCCGACTGAGTTCTTGCGCGGATTTCTCTTACTCGCTTTATTTTCTTTTATTTTTGATAGCCACGCCACGACCGTTTCATGTATGTCATTTATGTTGGGGACATAATCCGATTTTTTCCTAATACTCTGGAAATATCTTGCTTTCTGCTCTCTTTCAATTTTTATCCGTGGTTTGTTCAAAGAGAACATCATCCATTATCTGACAATGTTTCTTGTTGTTTACGTTAACTTGATCTGGTGTTTTCGTTTGGAAAAGGTGGTTCATTTCAATTTCAAATAATTTGACTTTGCTCTTCGTTAGGATACACTTTGATCTGTGCATTCGAGTTACAATTAATCATAATGGTTGATAATGCGTCGTCTAATCAAAAGAAATATAAAATACTATCCACTTACGAGATGTTTACGTACGTCTGCTTTTATGTACTGAAGACATTAAAGTCATTTAAGGCGAAAATATACTGAAAGTACAATAATTTTGGAATCTTTCGCGATAAATTTACTCCCAATATCACGCAGTATATCTATTTTCCTAACAGAAGTAATTCTATCACAATGTTGAATATATATATATATATATATATATGTGTGTGTGTGTGTGTGTGTGTGTTTGCGTGTGTTTGCGTGTGTGAATAGGGATCAAATATGGATCAGCTTTACGACCACATCACGCCAAAGTTAAACAATGTCGAGCTTGGTCAGTACCAAGATGATGGACTGCTTCTAAATACCAAGTACTGTAAGCTTGGATGTGCGGGTTGTGTAATAGGTAATGGCTCGGAATTGTTATTTGGCGAACCGAGTTCCAGTTCCTGTTGGATTCCATCTATTCATTTAGGTACATATACCCTTGGGAAAGATACGAATTCACCTCTTCTCCCCCAGCTATGGGTTAATTAGTAAGACTTGTATTACGAACCCATTATTATCTCCAAAAATAAATTCTTAAACTCTTAAAATAATTTTTTGGTTTTAAATAACCCGCAGTAAGTTGATAAGCCGTAAAAACGAATATGGATTTGAAACCATTAACAGCATAAACAGCGCTCTCGACAAACTAATTAAAGCAATCACAAAACGCCTAACTTCGTTCCTATACACCATCAATCCAACACACATTAAACACTCTGGTGACTTAACCCAGAGGACGAGAAATATAAACATGGATATGGCTAGCTTAGATGTCAAATGATCATACACAAATATATCCGTCACAAATATACCGGTCCACAAAATTATACAAACATGCAAACTAATTACTAAGCACTTTTTCTTTTCTTTCAACAGACATTTAAAGAAGCCTTAGGTTTAATGATGTCGTTTCCAATAAGTGATGTTTTTACTTATCACTCTATAGAATTCTTAGAATTTGATCCATTTAAACATCTGCACTCACCTCAGATATAGAGATGATGCCCTTCTAATCTCGTCACAATGAAAATCTACTAAACATCATAAAGAGACTTAAGAACATAAAACCAACCATGGAATTCGCACATGAACATCAAATAAACAACATTCTACCTTTCCTCCACATCCTATTAATACGGAACAATAACAAATTAGTTTACCGCAAACCCACAAAAAAAAATGATTTAATCAATTTCTATTCCCAACACAGACAAAAAAATCAGATCTAATCATAAGTTTTTACATAAGTTTTTACATGTAGCACAGAATACCGAGATGAAGAAGAGAAATACATTGAGAAAAAACGTTTAAACCTCTTCACTACCCAACATAATTTCATTCTTAATGCTAGAAAACAAGCATACAAAGTCGACAAGTCTCAAAATAGTAAGCACTACCGACAACAAAGGCACTTCCGATAACAAAAAAAAAAAAAAAAACACCGCAAAAATTTATAATCTTACCCTCCAACAAGATGCACGGTGGGGTATGGGTAGCAACTCGAATTGAGGAATTCGAGAGCCGATTTCAAATTCAAGTCGAATCCATTACATTCACTTACGTGCTAATACCCTTAGGAAAGTTATTAATCCTCTTCTTCTCTCTCCAACTTAATGTAAATAGCAGGACAGACTGGGTTCTATAGCCTTGGATGGTAACTGCTCTAGAAGAAGGGCAACTCTGAATTCAAAACATGCGGAAGGTTCTTTGAGGACCTTTTGGCGCGTAGTGCACCAGGTCTCTGTTTTCGGCACTTCAAAAAGTGTGGTTCGTTCTGCATAGAGCGTTCACCAATATAATAAAATCATACGTGCTGGTGTCTGGTGCCGGTTCCTAGGAACTGAGCTGCTTGACCCTCATACGTCAAACATGACCGGAGAGTCCACTACCCTCCAACACTCTATCAACAAACTTTGAGTGCAAACTAGTTATCTCAACATTAAGATAGTTGCCACCACCTCTAAGACGATCAGAGACATAGTGAGCAAAAAAAAAAAAAAGATCCAATACCACATCAGATGCCGGGATTTATTATATTAGCTGCATAGGCTAAATATATAGAAATCTAAAAGCCCGCATCTTCGAAAATAAGAATGACCTATGTTAGGACAACAATTTAATCTCTCTCGTAACACAAAGAAATAAAACAGGCCATACCTTCGAGTTAATAAATGAAACCCTAATCAGAAAAGAAGATAATTTACTACGTGGAAAATACTTAGAAGGAATTCTGATAAATATATTTCCATTAATAAACAAACGTCAACCAAACTTTATTATATGTCCAACTTTTATAAAATCCATATTTAAAGAATCTAAGATCGATCTATCTACAACCACAACCAGTGTAGCCTAAAGTCATTTATACTCACACAAAGCATACACCAATTAACATACGTGCATTGACAGACATAAATAAAAACGAACACACGCAGACAGACATTATCAAGCAAATTCCGCATAGACCAACTAGTATTATGACACACAAACACACAAGAATTATACACAGGTACACTCTTTGACAAGACGAGCTATACTTAAGCAATAAAAAACAAACAAAATAAATTTTTTAAAAAGTACAAGACTTTTCTTTTCTTCTCCATGTTTAATTTCCTGATGAAGCTTAAAATCGAAACATGTTAAATTTATAAACGTATCCTATTTGTTTCTTATACTCCTCTCTCTATATATATATATATATATATATATATATATATATATACCCAAGTATATAATTGGTATATACGGAATGAATTCCAATAACCAACAATTACTATTCTTAAAAAGAGTGCTCAATACAAAAGTAGAGCAGATATAATTATTTTTTAAAAAAAATTATAACATAATTATGAGAAAAATCACTACAAAAATAGCCATTTTGTTTCAACACACTCTGTGTCTTTGTCTGGCTATTTTTGTAGTGATTTTATAACATACTTATGTTATAATTTTTTTTTATAAAAAATAATTATATATATATATATATATATATATATATTATATTATATTATATTATATTATATTATATTATATAAATCTAAAAGTGAACATTGAAGTCTAGCATGAAACAGCCTGTTGCCTCTATCTTCAATGTTCACTTTTAGATTTAGATTTACATACGCTCTATCTTTGATATTGAGCACATTATCCCATAAATATAGCAGACCTTAAACTATATTTCTTTAAATATATATATATATATATATATATATATATATATATATATATATATATATATCACTCTTTATACGCATTCCTGTCTATTCTTGTGCTCTTTCTTTGCTAACTTGCTACGTTCGTTTATTATATTGTGGACGTTTTTGTCTTTAGATCAGCATTTACTGTTATCCTGTCTTTTATTTTGGGTTTTTGCGGTGTTATTCTGGGCCGCCATTAATAGCAATGCCGTTTTTGTATTGAGTCAGCATTATCAAATTGTTACTTTCTACTTATCTCTTAAAATCCCTCTAGATATATGTGTGAGAATCTCCTTTCCGTGTTTCTTGTTTCTCTTTTAATACGCCTTTCCCTCTGACGAAGGTTTTGGCTCTTGTATTTGCGATCGAAGCTTTGGCTCATTTGCACTTTATATTTTGCCTTCTTCTATTTATTATTATTATTATTATTCATGCATATACACGAACACAAATGGTGTATGGTGTTTATTGCGGGAAATAAAATGATGGTAAATCTATTCAAATTTCTAACTATTGTCTCAATCCTAGTAACGTCGATGTATGGACGAACTGAATTCATGATGGAATTTTTGATCTATCCAATTCTGATTCAGTGCTATTGGCACGGATCACAAATGCGCATATTATTTATGGACACTTCTCTAACCATCATGATTTTTTTTTTGAATTCCTGAGCAATGTTCTGGTATTTTTCATGCCCATTTCTACTTTGTTTACGACTCTGAAATCCGGATTTTCTTTTTAGATGGAGTCGTCTGTATGAAACTCAAAGTCCAATTGATTTTGTTTTCCCGAAAAACCTCTGCTTTGTGCTGCTGCTATCTGTATACATGGTCGAACTAAAATAGCTTGCCTAATTCCAAATGAACCTAACTCTTTCTACACTCTTTCTACTCTCTCGTCAGTATCGTCCATTAATGATAAGATTTACCTTCTCATCTTTTCTAAATGAAGAAAGAATTTGTTGAATTTTTGGTATTACCTATTTTGGCTTTGATGTTTTTCTTAATCGTAAATATAAAGTAAATTCACTTTTCTTTTCATGTGACCTTTGCGCAACCATGACTCTAACTATCTGTGATATTTGATTTTTAAATTCCCACGCAGAGAGTTTTCCTTACTCCTTTTCTTTTCTAAGAGCGTTCCTCATTTTTCCGCATTTCTCATATTTTCATTTACACTCTGATGTTACTATGATTAATTACGGAAGGTTTCCGGAAATTTCTGAAGCCAAATGAAAATCTGTCATCTTGAAAATTTGATAAAAGGAAATATTTGCTTGTCTTCTTTGTTACAAAGATAATCATATTTGAAATTAATTTTATCTGTTTTGAACCCAATAGTTGCCTTTGAATATTAGCAAGAATTTTATTTTCATTTTTCTCATTTATCGTTTCATTATTTAATTTTGTCGTTGTGTGTATTAATTAGTTAAATAATATCTATATATCTCTTTCCCTTTCTCTCTCTTTCCCTTTCCTCTCTCTCTCTCTCTATATATATATATATATATATATATATATATTTTCAGTCGTATGGATATGAGTTTGTAAATATGTGTTTAACGCTTTTCCAATCATCTGATAATTGTTTGATGATCGCAAAAGCGACTGAATATGTTAGCTCTATCACTGATATTGAATGCTTTCCAGTAAATAGAAATATACATGCATATATATACACACACACACACACACACACACATATATATATATATATATATATATATATATATATATATATATATATATATATAACTGATATATATCGCTATTTATATTATTTATCTCAGCCTGTTCATGTCTCTCTATCTCAGTCTGTGTATATCTATCTATTTACCTATAGCAGTCTCTTCATATCTTTCTACCGATCTTACCCTATGTATATCTTTCTATATCGCTCAATAGATATGGACAGACAGACAGAAAAACAGATTAATAAATATATAGAAAAAAAATGCGTTTATTTTCTTATGCATTTGATATAATGTTTCAACATATTTATCTCGGTTTCTTTAATAGTACCACTGTTCATTTTATTTCTCTAGCAAGAACATTGTTCCAGTCAATCAGTTAATCTATCTATCTATCTATCTATCTATCTATCTATCTATGTGCGTATTTCCACATATATACGAAGACGGAAATCATCTTATTTTATAACGTTATATGAATTCCCACTAACTCCCACCAAATATAAGAACCATTTACCCGTCCTTCTACCGTAGATGCCGTTCATTGTAAGTTGTTCAAGTCTGTTCGAATTTTCAGAATGAATCATTTTTTTAACACCAATGTCGTTTCCAAAAATAATTTCTTTTGTGTCGATCACCAACGGAAAGACAAGTGTTTCTCCGTGGCTGGATATTCATTTCTGTAATTTCCATGTGCAATTTATTTCCCATGCTTCTGTCTTTTTCTCTAAGGTTTTTAGACAATGAACTGCAAATGACGGATTGGACAAACAAGGGCGAAGTAAACGTCAAAGACTCTGATTTTCTTTCTTTTTTAATATTGTTCAGAACATAAACTATTAATAATAGACACTCACATACATAGACTCATATATATATATATATATATATATATATATATATATATATATATATATATAAAAAAAGAAAAGAGACATAAACTAGAAAAGGGTAAAATAAAAAAGACGAGATTCTCAATTACAAGAGAATCATGTTGTAGAAATATGGAAGAAATATTATTAATATTCGATATTTATTTAACTTGTCATGATTTCGAGATCCCGTCGTTTGGGATTGGTTTGCAAAATCCTTGACTAATCTGCAAGAAACTGTATAAGGTCTCACATCTGTAACCTCACCCTGCCAAATAATATACTTTTTTTCATGGCTTCGGATTGTGCAATCTTTAATTTTTGTCTGCAATCAGCCATTTATGTGACTGGTTAGAACATTATAAATTTAAATTCATTTTGTAAAATGGCAATAAATTGCTAAACCAACATAAATTTTTCAGCCATTCGGTACACATATATATAATGGGCAGAAACAGAAAAAAGTTTATCGCATATTTTAGAAGTACGAGAATGAAATCGTTGCATGACAGATTAGATTATACCAACACAGTACAGCGATTGTTATAATTGCTGATAAATATAAACAATTTTCAATATATATATATATATATATATATATATATATATATATATATATATCGCCAATCGTATTCGAGAATATCCGTCTAGTTTAGCCAATCCCCATTACAGATGCTCGCATAGGCACATCTGTGTTTGCTGTTTATACTATACTGAACAGACCTTAGTTACAGTTTCTGAGAGGGATCGTGTTATCTAACATGATCAACAATGTGAACATGCCCATCACATTGAAACCATTGTTCACAGCTATCGAGTGTTCCGACTACCCAATTTCACTCACATGGCTTTCTAGTATATTAGGTATCACTTTTTTTTCTTACTTTAGTTTTTAGGTCATTTTAATTACCGGCCTTTGAACATTATTTTTTCTCCTCCGTTTAATTTTTTTCCACCATTTTTTCTCTTCCATTTCCTTTTTTCATTTCACCGTACTTTAAGTTTAAATTAATTTTTATAACTATAATTGTCTTCTCTCCTTTCTTGTCTTCCACTTATATTTGTTAACTTTACTATTTTTAAGGTTCAATATTAAACATCTGTAATCTTAATTATTACCACATCAGCGTCGTGATAGCCAGATATTAAACCGTAAAAAGTCAAGTTGAGCTCAGCACTTGAAGATTGCATAGAAGTGCTAGAAGTGAGATTATATATATATATATATATATATATATATATATATATATATATATATATATATATATATATATATATACACGCTAGCTACGATGGGTAAATTTCACCATTTAATCTTTTTAATTTCGCGCTTGCTCGTCGTTTGTTTTTGATTTTGTCGACTGCACAATATAGTAGGAAGAGTTGGGCACCGTCTGTGAGAAAAAGAGCAACATGACGCAATTCATTCCACCAGAAATCCGGAAGCTGCAATACGAACATTTCAGAGTGATTGGCTGTCAATCTGAGGACAGTTCAGAGTATTTGGAAAGAACTGGATGATATATCCAATCATCATTATGGTGCTTGAATCGATCACTAATGATGGCGACATTGTATCTCCATTCATTTTCCCACAGGGCCTGAGACTCAACATGGAGGCCTACATGAAGTACCATGAGGAGGCAGTGCTGCCTGGGTCAAATGGTTGAGGCTGGAAGATCCTATGTTTGGCAACAGGGCTCTGCGCCATGCTACAAAAACAGAAGGAACCCGTCATGGCTGTCAGACAATTTGTGTGACCACATTAACCCCTATATCTGGTCACATAACTCCCAACACTGCAACTCCCTCGATTATGTGCGGGACACAGTTAAATACGAGACCAACAAAGCTCCTTGCAACACCAAAGATCAATTGAAGGTAAGAATTATAGCAGCATAACTTTAGTAAATATATCTGTTAAAATGAGATGTCAGAGTTATTTTCATTTTGTGTAATTTAGACGACAATTTATTCATCGCATTCTGTAAATAGATAGATAAGTAAATACGAAATGCCCAATAAAAATTGATAGAAAAAAAGCCATGAATATATCACGATCGATATAGAATTAAGTGAGGTCGGGAGATTGAAATTGAGCGAAACGCTATTGTATGTTGTGTTTGGGTGTTTCTACGTAATTAAGATTATTTTTCAGTTGGCCGACAACCCGCTGTCGATGTCTTCTTACGTGAATATCCGACGCTTCCACGCATCCATTCGTTAACATGACGTCACAGTCTCCATGGAAGCCATTAGAAAATGGGGAAAAATTTCTAAAAAAAAGTAGAGGAAAGACAGTAACGAAATAAAAAAATATATTTTTAGAGTGAAAATAGGCGTGAGATAATTTCTCTCGATCGGGATCATTAAAAAAATACGAGAAAGGTATTTTGTCCACATGTATATTTGAAGAGAGAGAGAGAGAGAGAGAGAGAGAGAGAGAGGGAATTTGTTTTCCCGTTGTCGCTTTTGGAGGACGTGGGACAGTATCGTCAGGGGTAAGGTTGATTTTGTGACGCTGAAAAATGGGTTGAAGGTTCACTGATTGGTGTTGAAAGAAATTCTGTGTCGCAGATGGATAAGGATCAAATTCTACTGTCCAGGACAAAGACTGCTACGTGTTATGGGAAAAGTCACTCTTGTGGATGACCTAATATGATCTCTGAATCATGATTTGACAAATACACACACACACACACACAAACATACACACACACTCGCGCACACACACACACACACACATGTATATATATATATATATATATATATATATATATATATATATATATATATAATATTAATAATAATAATATTAATAATAATAATAATAATAATAATATAAATATAAGTAATTATATTCGTCTGGAAAAACCTTAGGGGTTTTGGCTTGTAAATGAACAAACCAATACACAAGGAAAAATAAAGGACATATTCATATATATAAATATAAATATAACGTCATCCACAGACAGACTGTTTCGCTGTTTACAGCTCATCAGTGTGGGTAGACACCCGGTTGCATCTAGCTAGGATCGAAACCCAACTGAATTGGTGTCAGTCGGAGCTTCTAACCACTACTAAGCCGTCGGCGCACGGTAGATAGGAAGGTGGATGGCCTGACGATTGCATTTAGCATGAAACAGACTGTCGCCTCGAAGTATTGATTCTATGTTCACTTTTATATTTACACACGCTCTATCTCTGATATTGAGCACTTTATCCCATAAATATAGCACATCTTAAGACTATATTTCTTCATATATATATATATGTGTGTGTGTGTGTGTGTGTATAAAGACAAAAAGCAAACTTTTTACCGATGCGTTTCGTCCTCTGATGAACTTTATGAAGGTTAATACAAATGTAAGGATTTTATCTTGCAACAAGTCCTCTGATTCAATTTATAAACAAAAGTAGAATTGTCATTAGTTTAGTTTTACAATATAAAATTCAAAAGCTGGAATCTTTGTTAAAAAGGAGATGTCACACCGTGGAGACGATTATAACTCAATCCAGTGACTTTCCTGACTGTTTTAAAATGTGGAAAGGAGTTAAGTTTTTATTTTTTGTTATTAATAGTGTGTTTGTGTCTGTCCAAGTAACAAATTCTTTTTAATGAATGGCATATACATATATATATATAATATTGAATAAATATAAATTTCATAATTCATATAAATTTCATCATAAACTTATTTCAATTAAATTTAATTAATTTATGATTTTAATTAAATTTAATTTATTTATTTTAATTGAATTTAATTTTATAAATTTCTTAATTCATAGAAATTTCATAATCAAAGCTCAGGCTGGGGATCGTACTAACCTTATTTGCAATAAACTGAAAACAGATTACTAACACTACCATTACTAAAAGTGCTTTCTGTAATTCTGTTATTATGCCTGTGTATAATTCCTATTGCAGACGCTTGCTCAGGCGCATTTGTGTTTATTCAACACCCATGGTGCTCATCTGTGGTTTATACTGCAACTAAGCTGAGCAGACCTTAGTTACAGCTTCTGGGAGAAAGCGTGTTATCTAGTGTGATCAACATTTTGAACAAGGCCAAAACGCTCAAGCTCTCGACCACGATGACGTGTGACTTCGTGCTAGCACAACTATCGACGGTCCCCAAGGGTTCTGTTTACCCAATTTTATTCACAAGCCTTTGGTCAACCTGTTGTATGGTTTTCAGGCTGAGAACGACCCCTCTTGTCCGATAATATCAGGAAATCTCCTTCCTGACAAATCAACCATGGTGATATTCGAACCCTGGTCTCATCGTCAGAATATATATATATATATATATATATATATATATATATATATATATGTTACACACACATACACACACAAAAATTCACTCGTAACAAAAAGTTTCACACCCCCATTATTTTTGAGGAAAGCAAAAATTACAATACCATATAAATAAAAGTGGATATACACTTAAATGCATCAAATTTATTAAAAGCGGAATATTTTCTATGAATTTCAGGATAAGCTACTATTTTTATGGCCACCTTTCGTTTCAATAACAGCTTCAGTACACGATGTAGCTTGCTGACTATAATAATATTCTGTTGAAATCCAAGTGTTCCAGACATAGTTGATAGCTCGAACAAGAGCTTTGTCGCTAGCTGTTTATTTGCAAACTTATTCTTCATGTAATTCCACAGATTTTCTATGGGCTTAGGTACCAGTTCATTCCATCATACTGGTCTTGACATTTATTAGATATTCTTGCCTTTTCTTTGAGTTGACGTCTGTGGCACCAGCATGAATAAATACGTATGTGCTTGTGAATTTCTAGTTTATCTTACAAAAGTTTCAGATACTTTTCACCGTTCATGGTGGTTACAGGGAACAGGAAATATGAACAAAATAATCTGACTAGCGGGATGCTTCATAATTTCCTGACGGCCTTTTAACGTACCATTCACAACAAACTGCTACAGTGTAGATTCAGTAGAGAATATAATCTCTCTCTCTCTCTCTCTCTCTCTCTCTCTCTCTCTCTCTCTCTCTCTCTCTCTCTCTTATAATTTATGGCGAAAGTCTGGCTTTCCATCAGTTTTTGTTTTGCGGTTGACTTGCAAACTCCTTGACCAATCTGCGAGAAACACTACTGCGTCATATATCTATACCCGTGAGAATCACAGCAGCTTGCCCGGGATCTTGAAATGATGGATCATATCTAGGGCTCGTTTATATAGGATGACCACCTTTCTTTCGTTCCGACTAAGAAACCCCATTTAAAAATAAGAAACCACCAAGCTTACTACAACCTACGTAAACGGAGATTTCACACCTCTCTGTGTAATGCTTATATTTGGGCTCTTTGCATATCAAAAAGTGACAATTTTTCGACCATCTTAAAGTATAAGAACGTAGTAAACATTATCAATTAGAACAAGTTCATAGATTACCTAAATGTTGATAATGCAATACTAATGGTAATTTATTCAGATGGTCTTAAACATTTGGATTTGTATCTATTTTATGCCCAGTATAGAAATAAATATAAGAACATTCTAACAGGTGCTGCCACCCGGGGTCAAAGTGGAACTGGGTAAGCAGCAATTAAGAGATGATTCCATGCTCCTGAAAATCTCCAAATCTCCCGATCAGACAGTTTATCGTCATACCGACCCTTGATGCAAAATTTAAAAGAAAACGAATGGTATAATGTAAGAAGACCAAATATTAAGACTTTTTCACTTCTATAGTCAACAAGAGTTGGATACGCAATGAGCATTAACCTTACTGTGATGGCTGACGTGACTAGGTTTTTAACGATAACACAGGCGCCACAGAATTACGTTGATATATAACTAAAATATAGAGTCATTCATTCATGTATATTACCACACACAGACACGCGCACACACGCACACACATAAACCATGTAAACACGATTCACAAGTGTAACACAATGGTTCTCCACCTCGTTTCCTTCCTACACCATTTGCCCGGAAGAGGAAGCTTTCTCATCAAGAAGCCCCCAGATCTCCTGTCAAATAGACTTATGTTGTTCGAGATTCGACAAAGTTCGTAGGCGTCGACGATGGCGATTTTGTTTGGAACAGCATTGGAAAAGAGGTGCGGTGACGGTAGCAGGGGGAGTTGGAGGAGAGGAGACCGGTACAGGAAACAAGCGTCACTTTGTGTCGTTGGACGAACGAACGTACACGGAAACAGCCGATCGTATCCGACATTCACCGGAACTTGATGTCAAGTCAGTAGCGGGATGAATGAGTAAAACTTAAATGCAGTTTTTGGAGTGGGAATTATTGGTGGGAATTTTTGGCCACCCTCACTTTGTGGGAGCGCCAGAACATAAGGGCATATTTGTTGCTATGTAATAGCCGTGTACGTATTTCTATAAATCATTTTCTGATATATATATATATATATATATATATATATATATATATATATATATATATATATATTATTTGTTTTAGGATATTACACGGAAAACAGGTAAAAATCGCTGCACATTTGCAGTCGTGTTTCAATGCATCTCATCAGGAGATTGTAAATTACTCTAGAGTAATTTACAATCGCCTGTTGCATTGATATGCATTGAAATACGACTGCAATTGTGTAACGATTTTTACATGTTTTCGGTGTAATATGATATAATGAATAATATTGGTCTATTCTGCCTTGAGCCCCCTTTTAGATTAAATGTTACGAATGTTGGAATTATACTCTATTCGTTGGCATCGTACCTGGACACACACACACACACACACACACACACACACACACACACACATATATATATATATATATATATATATATATATATATATATATATATGCATGGTAGTTTTATATCTATCTATATACGCATAACCGCACATATGCATGCATATATATATATATATATATATATATATATATATATGTATATATATAGTGTGTGGACTTAAGAATTAACGCTGCATGATAACTATCAGTTTCATTAGATCGAGTATAAAATTCGGCTATATCTACATTGAATATATGATACAAATCATTAAAAAAAAAACATAATATCAACCGTAGATCTCAAAACCACCATGAGCTTCTCTAACAAAGTTCGACTACAAAGTAAGCGGTAACTGTCTACAAACCAATATATGGAATATTCAAAGAAACATTGAGAAATATATATGAGAATAACTGAAGGCACTTCAAAAAAGAGAAACTAGTGGTAGAAAACATGATTTAACAAAAATGGCAAATTGTACAACTCTCTCAAAACAAATATGGAATCTCAAAAATATGCCAGAAGACATACCAAAAATATCATGGAACCTAAGAATAGCATCAACTTAAAACATGCAAAGTTTTCCTCGAGCATTAAGTAAATATACACCTTTTCGTAAAATATTAATTCCTGAACAAAGACCAGCATTCATTCCAAATGCCTACATGATATGAAATAACTACGAACTATCTACAACTACGTTTAAAAAGTGGTTCGTTCAATTTTCAATAGCCATATACTGTTACTCACAATAACCAAAAAACATTCTAGCGTAACTGTTGTAGAATGCCAGTGATAAAACATACTGTCACAATATCTGCCGACAGAATTGACTGTAGAAAAATAGTTTACAATCTTTCTACATGGCATGAATGCAAATTAAACGTATGCGTGCTTTACCGTAATTCGAACTCTGTACATTGTTACGATATTCTTTGCTGTTCATAACTATAGTCTGAACAAGTTTCTGAAATGTATTCTGAAAAACAAGTAAAATATAGTTTCAATTGAGATTTTTTATAATAGCCAACCATTTGTTTTAGCTGCTAAACCGATGAATTGTTTTAGAGAGGAATTGTCTATTTGATTCCAGATATTTCTAGTTACTGTTAGCACAGGACTTTAAACTCTAAATCAGAAACCAACACGATGTTTACAATTCCGCAGTTAGACTCATGAAGATATTTTTGATTTACTTCAAAATGAGTTAAATTTCATTACTTTTCTTGGTAATAAATCAGGGTATTCTACTTCTTTTATCGGAATTAAGTTAAAGCTGAAGATATTTTTGTAATAATTTCTCTGAATGAGTTTGCGAGATTAGAATTCTGAAAGAGAGGCATGACTTTGTCCGATATTCTATTGCTAAATATTTTAGAATAGAATCAACGAGAGAAATTTAAATGTTGGAAAGATTGTGGCCATAGAATTTTCGTGGGTTCTCTTGTTGATTCTATTCAAATTTCGTTTTCGCTTAAGAACTGCAACATTGACTGATTTATTTTTTTACATCTTATCAACATCTTATCAATCTTTGTGGTTTATTTAAAGCCGAAACATATTTTGGAGTGTGAGTTTTTTTTGTTTTTTTTTGGGCGGATGAATATTACGTTATTATTTATTTTAAGAATAACGATGATTTTTTTCTAGATGAATGTCTTACTATTTATCCCATAAGCGGGGAATTCATATTATTCCCAAGGTTATTTGAATGTAAGTGAAAATGAAGAATCCGCCTGTAATTCGAAGTTGACTCGCCTATTTCTTCTCCCAAACCTCTATCTATTACACCACCCACGCATTCCAAGAACTGCAACAAAAGATCATAATCGCTAAATTGTTCATCCCGAATTTCTCGTGGACAGAATATCAGCCCTCTTTCAATGTTCCTGGGACGTGCCTTAGCGACAACGTTAATTTCAGTCAACAATTATTAAGAACATGGAAAAAATATGTCAACAATGTTCTGTTAAAATAATGAATCTTTCATTCAAAATCACTTCCTAATTTGTTCAAAATGATTCTTTGAAAGCAGATTGATTCTCAGCTGACGGGGACATTTTTTTGCTATTTAATGTAATGAAACTTCCGCCACTTTCTACGAAACGTATTCACGATTTTTTTTTTCGCTCAATACAACGCCCAAGAGCCATTCAAGTTAGATGATTACTGAATAAGGTTATTGTATGAACATAAGAGTAGAGAGGTAAGGAGAGCAAATCATGAGGATATGTAGGAAAGATAAACGGTTGAACTTAAAATTGTAAAGGTTAAAATTGTAGCGATCGCAGAAGCCTCCACCCCAGCTCTTAGGAAGAATCTGTTCGAATGGAACTTATTTTTATTATTATTGAGATATGTAGGGAATATGGGAATCTGTACCAATGTCCGTGACAGGGCGTGTCTTAACAGTGAATGTCTGAACTGGTAGAAATAATAAACGCAGCTCGTCAGAACATTTACCAATATCCTTAAACATGTATCATTACGTTTCTACACTTTTCGCAGGTAAATATTGACGTTTTTCACGGCTGAAGAGGTCATTTACTGCCACTGGCGTCAATGGTCGGTGTTCGATACTTACTAAAAGCTAGAATTTCGAATTAATTCCTATTAAAAGTAACCGACCCTTCTTCCTTAGTTTTTTTTTTTATTGGATTCCTCACAATCCTGGCTTTATACCAGACTAGTCTCCAAACACATACAAATCCAAAAATAATCGAAAACACACGCACACCCATAGACACACACACGTACACACACGAATACACGCATGCGCAAATAGAAATTTTCCATTGGATCAAATGCGTGTGATGCTAACGCCCTGATTATACAGACGTAAATTTATTGAGTAAAGCAGACACAGGAACTAGGCGATACCATTTACACACTTGCCTAAATTCCATGTACCCCTATAAAATCGGCACACATCCGAGTGGACACGAAATTGGCAGTATCCCATCACACCCTCAGCCCGTGCCAGACTGATCGGCTACGTGCCCGTCCGTTTCAGGCCAGCTGGCTAGTTTCACAACACGCACGGCCGACTAAGGTGTCACTTGATTAGTCCAACACACCTCCAACGCCTTCTTCTCCTCACCAGCTTCAAAAGCGATTGATCGTTCGTTCTCACTTCCGGTTGTTGTCATCTCCTGCTTTTCTAATTCAGACGATTCCCTTCCGTACTCTCCGTCTTCACTCACACCGGTCAGCCTCTCTACGCCAAATCTATCACAGCTCCACGAAGGCTATTGTTTAATATTTAGAGTCTCTGCCGATTACGTTTGAATTATTCTGATCGTCGTCCATTCTGTTCGATAAATGTCATTGGCCTAACGTGGAATTAACAATCAGCGTCAATTTCTCGCCTTTTCTTCCAAAGATAAAAACCCTAAAGCAAGAAATACAAACTTAATGCGTTAAAAACTCAGTAAAATAGAAACGAAGTGGTTCATGATATCTGACGTTTGGTTATGTTCTCGTTTGCGTGACCGCATAGACAATTGGGAGATGTTTTGGCACCTGTATATCTGCCTTGCGTCTGAAATTATCAAAAAACAGTGACAAGAAGGAAAATTTACGTAGAACGCAGTTTAATTTCTTTTTCTTTTCATTCTTTACACTTTGAAAAAAACGTTATTTCTTTCTGTTCTTTTTCATTCAATTTATATACTTTCTTTCACTTTTTAAACGCTGATCCAGTTGTTTTTCTTTTTTTCTTTTTTCTTCATTGCTCCACGATCTCTTTCTTCTTTGTTATTAATCTCGATGGGAATTCATTTTTTTTTATTCTTATCTCAGTTTTTACTTTCATTTTTCAATTATTTTTTTTATTAAGATTCTTTCATTTTTGATTGTTGTTCTTTTTTGCTCTCCGTTATTTTTTTGTTTTCTCTATTTCCTCTATTTTTTTTCTAATTTTCCCCAATTACCTGATGCTTTCTCTCTCTTTCTCTCTCTTTCTCTCTCTCTCTCTTTCTCTCTCTCTCTCTTTCTCTGTCTCTCTCATTCTCACATATCCACTCTTTTCCTACACGCACTCACACACACACACACTTACATATATATATATATATATATATATATATATATATATATATATATATAAAAATATATATATAAATATAAAAGTGGACATTGAAGTCAACACTCAGGGCCGACAGTCTGTTTCATGCTAAACGCAATGCCAACTTCTGTATTTACATAAGTTCTATCCCTGATATTGAGCACTTAAACCAATAAATATAGCATGCAATACATAAAACTATATTTTTGATATATATATATATATATATATATATATATATATATATATATAAGTAGATATTGAGTTATTGAGTATCCGCTGTTATATTTACATACGCACTATAGAGAACATTTACAATTATATTCTTATCCTATTTCCATATTTATAATATATATATATATATATATATATATATATATATATATATATATATATATATATATATATATATATATTGTGTGTATTTAGGCATATATATTTTCATTTATACACGTTTCATTAAATAATATATACAAGTGTTGTCTATTTATTTTATGTAAAATTTTTTTCGTATCTTCTGATAAGTTTGATAACATTATCATTAACCGAAAAAAAAAAAAAAGAAATTCACAATATTTATCCATTATTTTTTTTAATATAATCTAAGCTTTCGGCTTACTCAAGCCATTATCAAAGATGTAATTACAAACATATCAAACAATATACGGACACGACAGTGATGATAGTCTGTCATTGTTTTGTTTACATAGTGGATCACTAAGCAACGATGAACACGCGCATATAAGACGCTAGAAGCGAAAATCGCACTGCATCTCATAACGTCACACATGACTACACGAGAGTGAATTGTAGAATGAAATAAGGAAAGCCGTTGGTATAAACCAATGGCTTCTGTTACCAATTATAGAAATTATAGACATTTAAGAATATTTGTAGAGATTCCATCGTTGATTTGTTTAGGTTGGGTTTTAACTGTTTGATGTATAATGCTTCAAGTATTTTTAGTTTTTGTCTATTGTTTTCATGTCGAAGTATAGTTGTGTTTTCGACAAGTATTTTACGGAATTGTGTGTGCGGGCAGGCATGTTGTTTTAAATGCCTAAAAATGTTAGAGTTTTCATTAAAATGTAGTGTCAAGCGTCGTGAAAGCGAGTTTGTGGTGTGACCAACATAAATATTATTTAATTCGTTGGAGATACACTCTCCCAAAGGGCGCTTGAATTTATAAACTATGTTGGTTTTTTGCAACTACAGATCCTAGCAAAAAAATTAAATTAATCATATACTACACTAAATCTAGTATATCCAACTTAATACTTCGCAATGATTCTTCTCCCCCGGTTAGCGATTTGCAAAAAAACAGTTTTGTTGGCCTCTCGTTCAACTACAACCCCACACATTATAATCAAGGGTGTAGGAGCCTGGGCAGTTTGGTGGCCAGATATAAGTGGTGATGTGATGGCAGATATAATCTGACAGCTATGACTAGGTTTTCCTAGCACCACCCTCTTGAGCAATATCAACCCTATCTCCTCAAGGCACTTTATATAGGCCTCCTTCTTGAGTCTGAGGTCCTCACCAATAAATTCGGGTGTTTTTTTAAGTTTGCCAAGCTGTCGTACTTTTGTAATCACCGTTAGACTCATCCAACTCTTTCCGAATCCTGAAACACTCTGAAATGTTTGTTCTGACGCTTTCGGTGTGAATTCAGTACAACATGCAGTTTCCAAAATTCTGGCGCAGCGAATTTTGTCTTGGTGCTCTTTTTCTCCCAGACGGTGCCCAACTGACCATAGTAAAAAGTTCAGACGACAAAATCCATGAGGGCATGGTACAAACACTTGATGAGTACTCCCCTTCCTATACATCTGTGGAGACGTGGGCTACGGAATTCAAGCTTGACAGGGATAGCAGAGAATATTACCCTCGGTCAGGTCATCCAAAAACCTCAGTGATGAACAATTATGGTTTGGGTTGACAGGCGTTTATATATAGCTAAATCCATAGGCACAAGATCCCATGGTTCAGCCCATACTGTTTTAACTGACATCATGTGATTGAGTAAGCTGTCTTCATGATGAGAACTAAAAAAGAGCAGAAGCTGAATAAGAGTTAACAAAAAACTTCAGACTTGTTTCCAAGCTGACCATAAGAATTTTAACCACAGATTAGCAACTCAAAATACAAACTGGTTTCACCACTTCAAACCTAAATCAAAGTTTCAAAGCAAACAGTGGAAACACTCTTGTTTTTCACACGAAGAATTTCAAGCGGGCAGCGTCTGTTGGCAAGGTGATGGCATGTGTTCTTTTTTTATTCTGAAGGCCTATTCATGATAGACGACCTAGAAAATGAAAAAAAAAACTATTAATGCATCAGAATTAAAACAACTGAAGGAAGAAATCAAGTTAAATTCAGAGGGAAGCTGAAGAGCGACCTTTTATACAAATTAAAGTTACCCCCTTAGATCAAAAACATGTAAAAAAAAAAGTTTTAGCTTTAACAGTTCATTTTTAAATGAAATAAAACAGAGCGCGTCCATATGTATTTATGTTTATTTTGTATGACTTTTTTGTTTAAGTCGGTGTTAATGAAGACTACATTTAAGTTCTGTGTATTGTTTTTGTACACATTAACGATTGCTTCTTCCTCATGCGTGTAACATTTGTGGACAGGTCTATATATATATATATATATTTATCGTTTACAACCATCACTGGTTAATTTCTAGGAGACGAATGGTGTATCAGGTTTTCAAGAAACTTTGTTTTTGCATCATGACGTTTGATGTTTATTATTTTGCACATTTCAATCATGATTGACTCTTTGGATAAAATCATTTATGATTCCCTTATAAGATGTCTTAAAATTATATAAACTGAAACTCTTTATGTTATTTAACTGTTGAATTTATTCAATACTACTGGGTGCGTTGGCGAGTCGATAAAAAATCAGTTAGCATTGAAAATCACCCCATGGCCAATTTGGAGGGAGTCGATGTCAGTCTGCGGCAATTCTTAGGAAATGTCTGAAAAAAAACTTAAGGGGTGGATAGACGGAAATGTACGGAAACTCATCGTAACTGAGTGTTCGAGCAGATTGACTTTGTTCACTTGTAGCCAAGTATTGAACTCACAATTCTTTGGTTCAATTCATTGGATTCAACCAACGATTTTATCCATCAGAGCTGAACAAAAAACTTGGAGAGTTGAGTTAAAGGGAAGTTAACTGATACTGTGACATCTGGAAGAGGCATGACACGTGGAATTAGAACAATCTATCAGGGTGGACGAATTGAAGCGTTCTGTTTGAAATTTTAATCACCTGAAGAGGGCCGGAGCATACAATGGCCGATATGTCGTGAATATGGCAACGAGGATGAGGACAACAGTCTGAACAATATAAATAGTGTAAACTTCTCTCTTTGTCTTATTTTCTTTTTCCAACAGAGAATATATTACGACTCACTTCAGTCGCTAATTTTCCCAAGGAAATCTCGGCTAAAAACTTTTGTACGCCTTTCTCCAAGGTTTTTAATATTTGGCATCGTATCTCTATGTTTAAATTCACCACAGCAGATTCGTCAAATATTTTCTTCCTGTTTAATATACTTTTCTTTATTATTACTCTTTTAATTTTTCTCGTGTCATTTTTTGTTTTATTCTTGAAACTAGTTTTATTTCTTGTCTTACCATTGCTTTCAATTGTTTTTATTGATTTCTGTTTAACCTTCTCGCAATTTCAAAAGTTATCTTACCATCACTCTGTAACTTTAAAATATCTCATTTCTCTTTCGAAGTTAATTCTTTCATAAGACCCGTGGCAATGATTACGTATCTGAAATTAAATATCAGTTAATGTACTATTGTATATATTCATCTACATTATGATGAACAAACCCTGAATTGCATGATAAAATCTCACACCATCAAATAAATTATTGTAAATATTCCTAATAGACCAAAAATTATAAGCTGATATTTATCAGAAGAATATGTCTCTTCGCAAGAATTTAACACAGTTGGTTAACAGTAATTTTATTGTGATAACGTTGAATTGCATTAAAAAGTTTGACATAGTTTAGCAAATTTAATTTTATCTCTTTTTATTTTAAACTGAACGATTTCCCTCGTTTGTGAATGTTGTAATAAAAAATCTGAACTATAGAAGTTATTCCGACATCAGTTTCCAAGGGAGCGATGTAAAGTGGTCTCTATTATAAATTTAAAAATATTTATTTTGCCAAATATTTGTTTTTATTCTTGTATGCAATGAATTGATTTTCAAAAGTTTTAAAAATCTAAAATGTTCACTTTTTCAAATAATTCGATAACCCTATCTCAATCCACTGAATTGATTTGCAATATTGATGATCGATAACATCGCTTCAATCCAGCTGGTTGAATAAATATTGATCAAAGAAATCAATTACAACAAAAGTAATAACACTCAAAACAGGGCATCGTGTCGTCTTACTAATAAAACATTATGACTGAGTAGAAAACTAATAGCCAAGGTTTGACATACATTTGAAAATTTACAATTCCTGAAATGCAAAAGTATTTAAGTTAAAAGAAATATTATTCAAAAAATGATTCATCTCAGAAATTCGAATAAAATTTTGACTGATTTTCTGATGTTCCCAATGACACATGAGCCAGTGGACAAAATTGTTGGTTGAATGCAGTGATTTGACTGAAAGAGTTGTGAGTTCAATACATGGTCACAGCAGAAGTAAACAAAAACTTAGAGAGTTGAGTTACTAAAGGGAAATAACTGAGAACTGAGATATCCGGGATAAGCTGTGGAGCGGGAGCATTCTACTCTGTTCTGCATACCTCATCTCAGAAATATGGATATATATTTCTTTCTTCTATTCATTAGACATTGTTTCTCATTTTCGTCACGAGGTTCCAAAAATATCATTGATTTGTCCTTGATCACGAGCGCCAAATCGAACACAAGTTGCGTGGCGATTGTTGCTGCGTGTTTCCGGATCAAATACTGTTGGGATTCCAGCTTGTGAAATTATAGATCGAATAAGGCCTATCTTAAGAGGCAACGTTTAGAGGTTCACCTGAAGCTGGAAAGGAAGAATAATCAACGAAAAATCGAAGCTGTGGTTGCCACACAATGTAAACACGCTGTGGAGTAAACAACTCTTTTGTTGATAGTCTTGTGCTAATCAACAAAACGAGAATCCGTTAACTCTTTTAAAACACAGAAATGTGTGTACAGCACACTTGGCCGCGGGCTATGATATGACATTTAATGTTACTTCACGCTTAAACTACTACCATCGTTCTTTCTTTTTTGTCATGTTACCCAGCGACTCTGTCCCGACAGTCTGTCTAGCGTGCACTGACGCTCTTGGATTCGCAGACTGTCTCTAAATGCCACTCTAACTTTGTTTTGTCATATTACTTCCGTTTTAACTGCCAGAATCATGATTTCGCCTCACGCAAACAACATAACAGAGAATCAAGGACATAGACGATCCCCAGTATGCTAAGGTTTTCTTTCACCAAACAACCAATCAGATACGAAGGTAGTATATTCTGCTATTTTCCAATCAAGAGTAAGACTAATGATTTTCCCAGCCAGTCAGAGCAACAGACGTCAGTACATTCTGATTTAGAAGATGAAAGAAATACAATTATAAATTAATAATAACTGACAATAAATGATCTAAGAAATACGAATAATTTAAAAAAACTAGAATTTAAAAATAATGGCAAGGCATTCGTAGAGCACAAAAATAAAGCGATGTAGCTAGATTTGTTTGCCTGCTACTGTCTGGCTTTTTCATAATTGAAGGTAAGCTCCAGCAAATAAGGATTGCAAGTTCTCAAAACATTTTGCTGACTAATGACCGTTGTATAAGAATCTGGAATTTGAGATAATAAGTAACTGAAATTAACATGAAAATACAAGTTAAAATAATAATGAACAATGCTACATCAGAGAAATTTCAAAGTCAATAAGTGTTATCAAAACTTTTTTTACAAATACCTGATGTAGATAAGTAAACATCTCTCTAAGTAAAGTCAAATGATTTGCTTTGAGTGTCATCATAAATGTAGGAAATATTAGGATATGATAGAAATATATGACTTCTTATCTTTTTCTTCTACAGAAATTTCGTTTCCTTTGTTCGTCTCACTAAATGAGCTTGTAGAGTGTTGCATTAACTTTCCCAAGAAAGGAATCGATCATATATATATATATATATATATATATATATATATATATATAACAAAAAATATATTACTCTCATGTCTTCCAACATTGTAGCAGAATGTTTGCCTATTTAAATGGCCATGTTTGTTCAAATACATAAAATGATATTATGTTATGGTCATACTCGACAACGACAATGCAGCCATCGTATTTGAACAGAATAAAGTTGAATCCGGGTATTTCTCTCCTATTCCAATGTTTAGTGAACGAATCCAGTCAATATTTCTAAGATTTGGTGCTCCATGTTCCACCCACACCCCCCTCTGTTTCATTCTTTTCAATATTAAGCCAAGTTTAGTAAATATAATAGGTACATGACGAACATTGTTGGCAAGCAAGAAATAGATAAGATATTGAAATTAGTAGACAGGTAGGTAGATAAATACGAGATACGGAGATAAATAGATATGACTAGAGATATAAAATACAGATAGTATGTTTGTTATTTTCATAGGTTTGCCATTCGAATTAGGTTAGAATTCACTTGTTAATTTGATATACCAGTTCACTTAAAGTTTAGAAAATCGAAGCAAAACATTTTTAAAGTTGTCAGATTATATATGATTATACCAGTTGTTGAATTACTATTATTATTAGTTTTATTTTATTTCCTTTGATTTCTGGTATATACTTATTTCTTTCTGGGTCCCAACTAGAGACCTAAGGTCACAAATGGCATCATGACATTTTCAACTGAGCAATTTAAAAATCACACATATTTTACATAGATAACGAGTACATACCGCACCTATGTAAGGTGTGCGCTGTACTCGTGAAAACAATTTTTTGTATTTCTTTAAGGCATGAGCTTCCATGAATCCCTTCAATGAGTCTACTGGAATCATTTCCAATCAATCCCAGAGTTCCAACTACAACTTGAATTGTTGATGTCCTCATATGCCACATTTTTGAGATTTCGATTTCAAGGTTCTTGTATTTTGAAGATCTTCAAAGATACATTGCAGTCTTCAGGGAATGTCATGTCAATAAGGAGGCATATTTTGTCTTTGCGGTCTCTAATCCCGATGTCTGGACGATAAGGTTTGATTGTTCTATATGTGTGCATTGTAAAGTTCCATAAAATTGTTAAAGGTCTTATCAACGTAAACGGGTCTGAGTGGTGTTCATACCATTTTCTTGCAGTTTCTTTCCCGTAGAAGTTGCAGATTTTCCAGTGCAAATATTAGCCCAATCTGTCGTGCCGTGCTTTATATTCAGTGGATGCAAATACCGCGCAACCTGATACAATGGATTTCTAATTGGATTCTGGATTTTTAACGCAGAATCTCACCCAATTTTTCAGTATGTGTGCTTGGTAATTCCTAGTAAGGTTTAATTAGGGACCTCCACTTTTTTCGGCAAAATTTTCGATACTTAACTTTAAAATAAATTTTTAAAAATGAAAAAAACATACTTGAAGATTTCATTTTAGCTTTAATTGAAAGTTTAATCATTAAATTTATTATTTCCATTAAGAAAACAATTCTGGTGTATTTCAGATAGAAACGATATACATTGGAATGTCAAATTTAATTTTGGAATTTTAAATTTTCTTAAATTCCCGCCATTTTCTTAATTTTAAGAAATTTGTAAACAAACACAAATTTATCGATTTTAAAAATATTTTCAAAAGTTTCTGACACGTTATTTTAGTAAAATTAGAAAATTTAATTTTAAATTAATCTGATTTAAAAGAAATATTACTTCTTCTAGCATAAAAAAGTAATCTTCAACCAATTATTAACGATTGGTACTGTTATTTTTATCCAATGTTTGATCTACGTGTTGAGTGTCGAGTGATGACAGCTACTACGGATGACCATAAAAAGTGAAAATTATTAGAAATCTGAGTGAACGCTTTTTTTTTTAGTTTTACTGAAAGGGACAAAACTCTTTTTATAATAATGTCAATTTCAGTCTACTGTACATGGAAATAAGGAACGTATTAAGTAAAAAAATACAACATAAAAAATTATTTGAAAAAAAATTAGCACAACTAAGTTTATTAAACTTTGCAGTTTTGAACTCGTAAATTTTGTTTCTACTTAATTACTAATTACCACAAGGAAATAGCCCAATACAGAATTTTGCACGATTTTTAAACTATTATAAATTATTATAATTAAAATTTAAAACAAATGAAAAAATTCTTGTAAAATTTAATTCTTCATCAGAAAAAATTTATTCCTTCAGGCAATAATGACCTTAATATTACTTATTTAAAAAAGCAATTAAAAGCTTTTCTAATTAAGTAGTATCATAGATTTATTGGATTCATTATTTTTCACTTCAGAGCAGATTTTTACTTAGCGTAAATTTGAAAAAAAAAGTAAGTGATTTACCATCTCTAATAACTCTTACTTTAAACAAAAAAATTTTTTTTCAGGAAATAAAAAGATTTTGAATGAAATTTCAGGACAATAAGTAAGTGGGATGTAACATATTTAAAAAAAAATATTTTTTACGAAAATTTTCTAGAAAGAAATATTTAAAAAATAATTTCATTCATTTGTGAATAAGTCCTGAAAATTTCATTAAAATCTGATAATTACTTGATTTTTACAAGAATTTCCAATCAATGTGTTTTCAACGGAAAAAAAGCGCAAAAAAAACAATGTTATTTTAACAGCACCGCGATGACGTAAAAAAAAGGAAGACTTTAACCAAAATTTCGAACGTGTTAGAAAATATTAAAAAATTTCAAAAAATAATTAAAAAATACTTTGGTCTTTCATCTTAATAATAACATAAGCATTTTGACGATAAAACTTTATTTTCGTTAAGTTTGTGGCATTTTTCATTACGCTATGCTGTTTTCCCGCGAAAAAGTGGACATCGCTAGGTTTAATCCTGTGCAGAAAGAATATTATTATTATTATTATTATTATTATTATTATTATTATTATTGGCAGTGATGGGACAATGATATTAAAAGCTAAAAATAGGATTTGAACTGTAGTTGTCGTAGTAGTATTAGGAGCAGCAGCAGGAATAGTAGTAATAGTAGTAGTGATGGGTTTAGAACAAGCCATTAATTTTTCTACATATTTTGGCTCAAGCGTAGAAAAAGCTAGAACTGTGCAGTATTAATGGTCATTGGGATGCTGATGTTGATTTTGACGATGATAAAGACGATGACGATGATATTATTATTATTATTATTATTTGTCGAACGCCTTTTCCGCTTTTCTGATCAGTGTGACCTTCAAATGCCAGATATTTTGTCACCCCTGGCTGGTTTCTGACCATAGAGAGGATTGATGACGGTTTCATCCTCATCTTTCAAGCAGGGCTCGAATTCCCATTTCCCCCTTCTCGATTCAAAGGACCTCTTTCGTATGGATATCAACGCAGCCTTTTTTTCCCCAGTAAATAAAACAAAAGAAAAACAACAATCGGAAAACGTTGGTGCTGTGGGGGGTCCCAAAACACGGCAAGCAGAAGAAAAAGCAACCAAGTGGATCGTTGTGTCAGCCGAGTGCGTCCACATAATGCAGTCAAGCCGATTGATTCCTCTGACTCAACTCACAGCCATGTTCAAATTTATGTCTTCCATATATTTTACGACAAGCTTCGATGTTATTCGCACATAAAACGCCTTTTTGCTTTCTTTTTCCCCATTGACTTTTTTCCCCTTTTTTATCTTTCGATTAAACATTTCCTGTTAAGGTTTTTTCTTTCCTTTCATAATTCCTCTACTTCATTGTTTCCATTTTGCCCCTTTTTTCATTCTCCTTTTTTATATTTCCTTGTCTCTCTTTGTCTCTTATTCACTGTGTGCTTCTTGCTTTATTTCAGCTTCTTTATTTCTTTCCTAAATTGTCTGCTTTTCTTCCTTTTTATTCTCTTCTTGTTGTTTCTTGTCGCCTTTCCCCATTTCGGTGTTGAATTTGTCGTTTCTTTCTCTGTCGCTTTCTTTCACTTCTTCCTCATCCATTTTTTTACATGTTTCTTGGCTTTCTCTCTTTTCTTTTTCTATCTCTTTTCCCTTTTCACTGTTCAGTCTAATTCGAGCCTTCAGTTTTCTCGATAAATTCTTCCGTTAAATATTTCTTCTCCACGCTCGGCCAATTCTATCTTCTTGGCTTTATTTACCTTCTCTTTATTCTGCTCGCTTTCTGATTTTCATTTATTTCATTTGATTACTTTTACTTCTTTCTTTCTTTCTTTCTTTCTTTCTTTCTTTCTTTCTTTCTTTCTTTCTTTCTTTCTTTCTTATCGTCCACCATGGAATAAATGCAGAATCATAAAATAATGATAGAATGATTGATAGAAAAATCGACAAGTCAATTTGATATACGTGCCTTGTCTAGTTGCCATGGCTGCTTTGAAAATCAGCATTTAAAATCGTAGCTTTTTAACACTTACGATCGTCGACGGATACATCCAAACATTCAAAAAATGCATTTGTGCATATTACTTTTTTTTCTTTTTCTTGTTTTCCATCGTGAAATCATTTCTTCTTTTTTCTTAATTTCTTTCCTTTCAGAGCGCCTGCCATAGAGTGATTGCTAGTTGTTTACTTGTTAATGAGTTCGATCCACTTTGTATGCTCTACTTTTTATCACAATAATATAAAAAAAGTAAGTTATTTCAAAGTTTACTATACGTTCGTTTTGATAAGCAACTCAGGACTTAGACCAGTATTCGTGTTCCTTAAGTTTTGCACAAGAATTAATATATAAGGTGTTTAAAAGGTGGTTTAAACCTTTTATCCTTGGATCAAATAATTCGAAAAGAAAGTCATTTCAATGTAAGTAAATTAGTAAAATTATTAAAATTCATTAATACAGTGCGTAATATTTAGTGACACATTTTCTTTTCTTTTTTAAGTTGCTTAAAATTTTGACAAGTTTGAGTAACAGTTATTTATAAATGTGTTGCCTATTAAGTTCGTGTATATACTGACAATTCATCTACATGAATTTTGTTCGATTTTCATTTTATCTTTCTTAAACCTCTCCTCATATTTTCTACTTCACTTCTTTTCTACCTCTCATCTCAGTAGGGTCCGTCATATAAGCTTAGGCGTAAATATCCTTCTTATCCCCTCACCAGCTATGTGTTAATTAATAAGACTTGTATCAGTAAGTCCTTATTATCTCCAAAAAATTTATACAATCTAAAAATATTTCCTAGTTTAAATAACCTGCAAATGGTTGATAAACCGTAAAAAATCAAGTCAATCAATCCGGCTCATCAATCTGTCTTTGCTTTCATTCTTGGATTATAAAAAAATCGTTGAAGGTTTGTTTTTATATTAAAATAATTGTTGGACTTAATTCATTTCATAATATGTTGTCATTGTTTATATTAAGAAATCTTTCTTTAGAAGAAATGATCGATCGAGAAAAATCGTGTGTGTCTATAAAAAGTAATTCGGACATTGTTAACCAGAAACTTCTCTGTGGCTGAATGGTAACGGCACGTTAGGCCAAATGACGGTTTCCATAACGGTTACAGATTTGATTTCTCTCGGACAACGGATATTTTCTACAAAATTTCTCTTCAGGCCGGAAAATATAATCAATAATGTTTAATTTAAAAAAATAAAAAAAGAACATTTATTCAAATAAATTATATCTATAAAAATAACGTATAATCAGAAAATATATTAAATAAATGTCGTAATCGTGAGCTTTGAATCATGCTGGAGAGCATGATTTCTTTAATAAAATTCTTTTTCCTTTAATAAAATTTCTCGAATATTCAGGCCGGTATACAAGAATAAAGAAATATACTGTTTAATAAATAAACGGAGCGTCTACTCAAATTCGAGTATCCACAGTAAGTATAAAAGCTAAAGCTTAAAATAAGCTAAAAGCTTAAAATACAAAATAAACTGAGGGCTCAATGTTAAAGTTGCCAGAGCCTAAATTTAATATAAAAATATTATCAATACCAACATCCGCCAATCAGAGCTATATGTAATGACAAGCATCAAGTGGTATTGATAATATTCTTACGCATAGATAGATAGATAGATAGATAGATAGATAGAGAGAGAGAGAGAGAGAGAGAGAGAGAGAGAGACAGACAGACAGACAGACAGACAGACAGACAGACAGAGAAAGAGAGAGAGACGGGGGTAGAAATATTTTCTAACATATGTTTTATTGAAAATGACTGACAAGTTACATTTGTTAATATATATACATATATATATGTATATGTATATATATATATATATAGAGAGAGAGAGAGTAAAGACATAGAAATTAACAATGTATACTGAAAGTCTGTGTCATATATTTCAATGCAGTCTTCACACGAAAAGTTTATCTGAGGATCGCATTGAAGCGTTAAAATCTCAATCACTCTGCATTGTTGATTCCCACACTGTCTACATCTCTAAGTGCTCAATCTCTCATTTTGAGCACTCCCCTCTATAAACACAGCAAATACACACACACACATAAACACACAAACACACACATACATACATAATATACCCATTTCTGTCAGCCAAACACTTCACACAACACTGATGGAAACCAATCACTCTGTGTCTTAGGTTTTTCTTGATAACTGTTGTACGAAATGAATTGTTATTTATTTCAGTACTAAATTCTCTTTTTTTACTATTTTGATTGTGATTCGGTTGCCCAATGTGTATTCAGATACTTGAACTGCTGCTGATGCTGCTGATACTGCTGCTGATGCTGCTGCTGATGCTACACATTGTTTACCTAGCGAAACAAACTCTACTTCATCTGCTTCTGCAATCTTGACACAATTGTGGAATTTCCCTTAAAAACAACACTTCCGTATCTGTTCATACTCGTACTTCTCTACGACAAGGCTCATGAACGGTTTAACAACTAATTTTCTCTTCCACTTTCAGAAGACTTGAACCACATCTTACTTCCCCTGATAACGAGAAATTTCCCACCTTCATCGTCTCTATTTCAAATTCACTTGTAATCGTCTACCTTGTAAGCACGCGTTTCATGATACACCCACGCACCGCCAATCGTTCGTGTCTGCGTGTTTGGCTTCACTACGAAAGGTTCGAGAAGATTTTTATCTTTTCATATGTTCTGGTCAGGCAGACTGTATCCTTTCCAGATTGCCAAACGTAGACTTAAAACTATTTTTTTTTTTTGCATATTAGATTTCAACACACACACATGGAGGCATAAATACAAGCACACATACACACACACGCAGACATATATGGATGTGTGTGAAAGTGGACATTGATGTCAATACTCAGCGGCGGCAGCCTGTTTCATGTTTAAACGCAATCTTCAGGTTTGAAGATTGCGTTCAGCTGTATCGAAACAGACTGTCGCCCCTTTGTTATTTCAACCTCCGTGTATATTTACATACACTCTATCCTTGATATTAAGCACTTTAATCCATCCATATATATATATATATATATATATATATATATATATATATATATATATATATATATATATATGGCCTGACGATTGCTTTTAGCAATTTTGTCACCTCTGGGTTTTGACTTAAATGTACATATATATATATATATATATATATATATATATATATATATATATATATATATATTACCTTAATTCTCCATGAATAATGCGCATTCATCCATAGCACACACCTCTAAAATTGTACTGAAAGTGTGGGAAAATGCTTCTAGTCACTCATAATACACAATCTTTGTTTGGTAATCAAATCCTATAAATTGTAGCTCTCCAATTTAATTACGGTCCACGTTTCCTACTCCTATTAAAGAAAATGCTTTTGAACTTAGAATAATATTATTATAATTTAGTTTCATGATAATTCTTATTTTTCTTTACATTTGTAATTATTGTTAGGTACATATGATTGTATTTGACATCGCCGAATTGTACTGTCAAATTGTTATATGTTTGTGGTGAGTAGTCATTTCGCAACTGAAATCAACCTATGAAACGGCAAAGATTTTTTGCAGCTGTGCATAATACGCACCCCTAATTTTGCTTATTATTTTTTAGAAAAATGCGTATTATACATTGGGAATTACAGTAGGTACCTCGAAAGATTCGCAATTCCCTTGTTTTAAAAAAAATTTTTAAAATTAAAATTTTTTCTTGAAGAATTTCTTGAAGTTTTTATTTCAATAAAATATTCAAATTTTCCAGCAAGCTAAATATTTTGCTGCATTTCAAAACTAAATTAAATTGATTGGAAGGAGTTTTTGTTTTCAAATTGCTGATTTCTTTATTTTATCGGCACTTTTAACCACATGTCATCAGAATCTTATTTTCTTTATTAAAAAAATACTTTAAAAAATAAAATATACTTTTCGAAACATTTTTTGAAGAATATTAGCTGATTTAAAGTAATCTAATCCGAAACAAATATTATTTACTTTAAATTAAAAATATCGAGGAAATGCATTTTTTAACATTTAGGTAACTGTTTATTTAATCTTTTGATGTGTTAACATCTTGATGACAGATTGTTGTTTATCTGGATGTTTATCCGAAAGGAATAATTGAATATAACGAAAACGCCATTTATAGTTTTAAGTACTCAGTAATCTTAACAACTTAGAAAAATATTCTCCGTAATCAAATGTTTTATCAAATTTTAGATATTTTGGCGTTAAATCCACCATAGTTATCGCTCATATTTTCTGATAATGTCGTGTATGAACTTCCGCATCTACGATACTCGACATGTTCATACACATACAAAAAAGTAAAAATAAAAATTCTTTTTAAAATATTGGTTTTTGATGATTTGTTCTAAGCTTTTCCATTTATTCTAATAATAATATCATCTAAAAGGGTGAAATTAATACAGAATTTTAAAAGATTTAAAACTTCATAAATTATTCTAAGTTTTTTTCAAAAAAATGAAATATTGTAAAAATTCATCGTTCATTGAAATGATTTTTCTTAAGACAATAGTCTACTTAATATATCTTACATATGAAAGTAATTAAAACCTTTTCTTATTAAATCATGTCTTAGTATTATTGCATTTTATATTTTATGATTCAGAGCAGATTTTCGGTAAATGTTGTTTCTGTTTTACAAAAGAAATTGAGGTTTTGAA